GGCAGCGCCCCCTTAAGCGGACGGGAAGAGACACGGTCCAATTCACTCACCCTCCGCGGCTCCCAGCGATACTCCAGCTTGCCTTCCCCCCTCCCTCCCTGCCTCTGCATCACTTCCGGGGATGAGGAGTCAGCTGGCGGCGCGCGGCGGGGGGACGTCGGGGAGCGTCCAGACGTCCCTGACGCCACACGTACAGCGAGGGCAGGAAAAGGGTAGACAACCCCCGCCGACTGTGGTAGGGAGAACCGGGCTTGGCTGGGCCGAACCACTGCTCAAGAAAGGGGGGAACGCGAAACAGGGTTATATCGCGCTTAATCCTGAAGGTAACGTGGGAGAAGGGAAGGAGAGACACCCAGTGGGTGCTGAGCAGCAGTGAGAAAGGGCAAAATGAGAGATAGGGGGACGCGCGGGAACACTCCCCCTCCCCATCCGCGCACGTTGGTACCGGCCCGCCCGGGAGAGCCTTTCGTTAGGCTGCCCGGGCATCTGGCGCGTGGGGCGGGACATGCGCAGAGTTGGCGCTCGACGTCGCCCGGCCCCCACGGTCCGGCTCGGTTGTGTCTGCTTGTAGCTTCCCCTCACGGCACGAAAAGCCATGGGGGGCGGCGGGCAGACAACCGTGGAGACACCGACCCGCCATGTTTAGACTGAACCAAAGTGAAATCCACGTGGCCTTTTCCTGTGACCCTGTCCGAAACAAAACACCGCCCCTGCCCTGCGACACGTAAGTGGGTTCGTGCTCTGCTACCGGGTCCCGGCCCTCTGCCAAGTACAGACAGTAACAAGCCCGAGGCGGAATCGATTCAGTCTGCACAACTTAGACTGCGTACGCAGAACCGATAAGCAACTGAACAGACGTTTACTGTTGACTCTGGGAACGCCTGCAGTGGCCGGGCGGGGGCGGGCGGGCACTACAGCGCCCCGCCCCGTTGCAGACCGCCCTGAGCCTGCCCACCCTGAGACGGGGAACTGGTTTGCAAGGTATGCTGGGGTCAGTGTTGCCAGACGTAGCGTAATTATCGTATTTGTACAATACTTTCGACCCTTGTAAGACAGGTAATACTAAAAGTGTTCAAAAGTGTATCACAATTGAGGCAGTTAATTGAGGCAGCATGTGCAAAACCCAGGTCACTCTCAGGGGGTCTTAACCAGCTTAAGAGTCTGGGTTACCAGAGTGTGGAACGTGCTCCCAAGGGAGGCGGTGCTCTCCCCTACCCCGGGGGGCTTTAAGAGGAGACTGGACAAGTACCTGGCTGGGGTCGTCTGACCCCGGGGCAGGGGTCGGACTCGATGATCTTCCCTTCCGACCCTACAAATCTATGAAATCTATTGAACTTTCAGGTTCGCTGTCCGTGCTTTCTTCCAACCACTTGCCTCAAAACAAAGAAACACTTCAACATTGATGATGACCCAGTTCTCACTGGTTTTGAATTGGGATTTGACAGGGACTAAAGTGAGGATGAGCAATATTTGCTATTTATCTTTAACTGGAGACTTATGGTGGGTAACTGTATAACAACCATATAACTAAATCTCAATGTGTGATAATACTAAGAGCTTTATTTTAAATGTTACATACAGTCTTAAATCAATAGGAAATCAAAGGGGTTTTGTGTTCGCCTTGTCCGTAAATTGCAGGCGTGTTCCCAATACAGTAAGTTGCAAAATAAAGTGTAGAAGATTTACAATACACAGACCTGAACCGCAAAAGAAAGAGAAAAGAATAATCATAGTAATACATTCAGTTTAACCAGTCATAGAAAGAGTTCAAACATCATAGTGGGTAGTGTCAAGTACAGTGGCACAAGTGTGGTGATCAGGGATCCTGGTTTTCTCTGATTAAAAATTGCAAATACTCTGATTAAAAACCCAAAATCCGTGATAAAAAATAAAGTCCCCCCCACAACCCCTCCCAGCGCTGCTGGTGCCCCGCACTCCCCACCACAGTCTCCACAGCCCTCCTGATACCCCTCACAGCAGCCCTCCAGACCCACAGACATGCATACACAGACACTGACACCCACCCCAGCGGTAAGTGTGTGTGGGGGGAAGGAGCGGGGCAGGGCAGGAGAAAGGGAAGGTGCTGGGGGATAGATCAAGAAGGTGGGAAGCGTGCCCCCCTGCCCACTCCCAGGAGCAGGGCCAGGGGGTGAGGGCAAGGGTGCCACTCTGTGGGCCACACACGTGCTGGCAGGCCTGACAGGAGGTTCACCCACTGAGGCCAACACCGCAACTCTGCCACTGCACCCTGCGCTACCATCCCACGGCCACCTGCATGGCTTTGTGGGCAAGGGGCACAGGACGTGGCAGCGGCAGTGCAGTGGCAACCACCGTGTGCAGGCCGGGGGGTGAAACGGGGGGCTTGCATGCAGTGGCATGCCCCGCAACTGGCTGCACGGCTCCGCAGCAGTGCGGAGTGGTGGCAGCTGCATGCAGAGTGTGGGGGGGCTTTGCAGTCAAGTGCTGCCACCACAGAGATATGCCCTTCGCCCCTGGATCCTAGAGGTAAATGGGGCTTGGGGGGCTGTGGGGCAGGGCTGGGGATGAGGGCAGGGGTGCCCCTCTGCGGGGGACTTTGCGGGCAAGCAACGCGGGGTGCAGTGTGGTGGTACCTGCCATGTGTGGGCCGCACATGCCGCCCGGCCACCTGCCCAGGAGATGGGGAGAGGGAGGCTGGCATTCAGCCGGAGCACAGCTCCGTGGCCGGCTCTGCAGCCACGGCAAGGGATGGGGGGGAGGGGGGAGGCTTCAGCTCGCACATGGCGCTGTCACTTATCTGGAGCCCTGTGACAGCAGTGATGGCCGCTGCCTACAAAACCTCCCTCTGTTGCTGCGGAGCTGTGCTTGGAGCTGTGTGGCTGACGGCAAAGGTGCAGTGCGGGGTGGTGGTGGGGATGGCTGCATGCCGCCTGGCCACCACTACGCTGCCACCAGGTGGCTGGCCCTCCGGGCATGGCTCCACAGCAGCAGTGGGAGGTTTTGTAGGCAGCAGCCGTCACAGGCCTCCAGGTAAGCAGCAGCGCCATGTGCAAGCCCAAGCCTCCCCCCATCCCGCCGCGCCCCCATCCCTCGCTGTGGTTGCAGAGCTGGCCGTGGAGCTATGCTCCGGCCACATGCCAGCCTCCCCCTCCCCTGAGCAGGCAGCCACGCGGCATGTGTGCAGCCCGCACATGGCGGGCACCACCACACTGTGCCCCGCATCGCTTGCCCACAAAGTCCCCTGCAGAGGAACACCCTTGCCCACACCTCCTGGCCTGCTCCCAGCCGCGGTGTGCCGCCTGGGGCCGGCAGCACCCCCCCATGACCACAATCCCCAACCATCTTCCCCAACCCTGCCCCAAGCCACACTTACCTCCATGCTCCAGGGGTGAAGGGCAAGTGTGAGCCTGAGCCTGGCTTTGGCTGCCTCAGAGACTCGGGCCCTGCCCTCCCCCTCTCCGACCAGGGCTGGGGGTTTCCCGTCTTTTTTGCAATCAGTTCTTGCAGGCTGGAGCTGCACCAGCCTGCCGGAGCACTTTGCAGAAGTGGAGAATCAGCGGATTTCTCTGCTAAAAAGAGAAATCTGCGTTTTCTCCATTTTCCCGTGGGAAATAGAAAACCTGGATCCCTGGTGATGATAATAACAGTACAAGCCAACATGATGTCACCTAAAAAGAAGACTTATTTGCATGCTTATTTGCACACCATTTTTCAGTGTATGATAGTTTTCAGAAAATACAATAATTTGAGCTTCCACTATGATAACTTCATTTTTAAGACCTGGCAACTCTGCCTGGGATGTTGGAGGACTGTGAGTTAACTTGAATCTGGTTGGAATCTGAGACAGAAGGTCAATACACCAGTTTAACCTAAATCAGTTAAGTCTGATACTACATCCATCTAGGTTTTTCTTAAACCCGTTTCAGCCATTCTGAAAGCAGCTTATGTGCATTGAACTTCTGTTGTGTTACAGCTTTGAACTGGTTTCTGATCATTTATACCGGTTTATGTGTAATTTCTGTCCCTAGCTAGGAGACCCCAATGCATAGCTCAGCCCCAGGAGTGCTATCCAGACTGGATCCAGCCTATACTGGCCAAATCAGAATAACAATTTTAAAAGGTTCATTTGTCCTTCACTAGAGAATGACCTACTCTCCATCTGTTTATTGGGGTTCAGCTGCAATAGACTGTTATAGTAGCTACTGATCTAGATTATGAAGCATCAGTTCTTGGGTTTTTTCCGTGTGTGTGAATAGTTCTGGAAAGCCATTGATAAAATCTAGTTGTTGATTTACTGCTGTTTGAATTGCATGCAGTTGTCTTTAATCAAGGTGTCAGCCAATGTTTAACTCAAGTGAAATGCTAAGTCGTGCAAGCCCTTCCTGTAATGGCAAAATTCCCACCAGTGTGAGCAGGAATTTGGCTTAGTGTTGACTAACATGTAGGATCATATCAGTCTTAGAGCTGGATCATTTCTAAGACAAAATTTAAAATAAGAGGACAGTGACAGTCACTTTGGATGCTGACAGATGTGGGAGGAAAAAGTGCTCTACCAGAAGCAGTAGCCACGTTACTTTGACCCCGACTCTGCAATATCTGTATAAGTTGGGCACTTCAGTGGGGTTTTTTGGCATTTTTAGCTAAAGCTGAGTCAATCAGCTATTAAATAAAAGCACTAAAAAAGCCCCACTAAAGCACCCCATCTCTACAGATGTTGGGTAAGCCAGGTGCAGCTGACACGCTGCCTTTTCTAGGCGTCTGCTGGGCTTGGTGCTAAAGCATGCTGAATCTAAAGTCGAGCGCTGGGGTTTTTTTCCCCACATCTGCAAACAACCTTTTTGTCAGGTTTCAGCACCAGTTGGTAACTTGGCCCACTCAGTGTGTCCAGATTTATAATTATAGAGGGACTTTTTTTTTTTTTCTTGGATCAAGCTCATTCTTAGCGTAAACCCATTTAAGCCAACGAAGTTACAGCACAAAGGAAGTTGGCCTATGCATTTGTTTGACTTTCTCCCAACTATAAACAAAATTTGGTGGCTCCGTTCAATTATTTATTTATTTGAATTTGGGGTCTGGCTAATTCCCCAAAGTATGTTCAATTCATGCTCTCCCTGACTCAAATGCAAAAACCCATCTCCTGAGTTTACACAGCTCAGCTGATGCAGATACATTCAGTGGAGCTGGTGCACAGTAGTGGTTATGCAGTAGTGGATGTGAGCACCTAAATCTGTTTGATTTTATCTGAGAGAGGAAGTGAAAGCTGGATTCTGAGAGACAGTAATACTGGTGGCATGTGATCTTCTAGGCACAAAACCCCTTGATCTCTCCTCTCATCACAATGTGACAGGAACTGTTTAAGTTGTTGTCGTCCCTTAAGGAAATTATGAGCCAAATTTATCATCCCTGATGTAAACCCACTGCATTTTTAGAGTGGACTTGCACCAGGAATGAATGTAGCCTAACAACTTCTAGTAACCACAAAATTGCTGTGAAATGGAGTGTATGATTATATATCACATCTACCAGTAGGAGAGAAATTGTGGGTCACCACTTATCTAAATGGTATAATTTAGCTCTAAAATAAGCCGGATACACAGTTTTTATATCTTGTAAATGAATGCTAGTTCAAGAGTGGTATTCAGATATAGAAAGGATGTAGTAGGGGAAACAATCGCATTCACCCTGGATAGAAATGCTGGTTTATGTTTTTTATACAAAAATAACATTTCTATTATGGAAATAAGTTATGATAATTTGATCTGGTACGCTGTCACTCAAATAATTTGTCACGACTTGTTAAGAGCTTCTTGCCAGAGGTAAACTAGCTGTCAAACAGAAGTTGGGCTGTTCTTGTACTAAAAACATGTATGTCCAAGAATTTCAAAGGTGCTGGTTCTAAATTATCCCATACAGAAGGTTCTCTTCTCTGAGCAGATCCCAAGTCAGCATTAAGTCACGTGTGTTTTTCAGGACCAGCAAGTGCCCTGGTTGACAGGGATATGAAAGAAGAGATCTGTTCTTTCAGTTTCCTCTTACTTGACTACTACTTTCTTGCTTAAATCCTGAGCATGTTGCTGACAGATTGGATGTTTAAAGCCAGTAGATGATCCTTGACTTGACAGCATGTAGGTAAATAGATTTATGGCTGTTATACTACAGGTACACTCTCTGGGAAGGAGGTAGATATAGGGGGTGGTTCAAGCCCTTCTACCTAAGAAATGTAATTCTACACAAGTAATTTAGCTGCCTATATTTGAAAGGTCTCATTCCCATCACTGCCTCTTGTCTCTTCTTGGAGCATGGCTTAAGCTCTGTACAACAAAGGTGACTTTGCAATACAGGTGGCAAGTTTTTTGGGATTTGTGTGTGTGTGTGTGTGTGTGTGTATTAATTACTAAAATACTGTGGAATCTTGCAGATGGCAAGATTATTTGTATTATTTCATATGGGGCTTTGGAGTCAATGGAATTAAACCCTCACAGGGATTTGTGTTAGCTCTTAAAAAAAAAAAAAAAGGTTCTTAGGTTGTAAGTGCTATAAGATGTTTTTGTGGTAAAGGCTACTGGGTGTTTTTGTTTCAATTGTCAACAAAAACGTTGACATTTTCATCATGCAGTAACTCATTAACTACTCAAGGTTTCTTTGCAGTTTTGGATACAATGGGCCATATCATTCCCCTGATCTGCACATTGATAACAGGAGTTTGCAAAACAGATCAAAGGCACGATATAGTCCAGTGTCTGTTTTACCAAAGTGTGGTCAAAACTGCTAATCACAGCATCCAACAGACACATACCTGGAAGCTGGAAATGTGCCACAGCTGGCCCACGTCCAAGCACAGATTCTAAGACTTGTCCAAGTTTAGCCTGCAATCCATCATTTATACTACTAGTTGGTTGTTTTTTTAGACCAACCTTGGTCCTTTTCACAGTTCTCTTGCTGTGAACATCGCCTGAGCTATTTTTCAGCCAAAACAACAGCAAGAATAAATCATGCTCTTCCTGATGACAAATTCCTGTGGTTAACCTTTCTGGGTCAGACGCTACAATTTAAAAAAAAAACAATAGTATAAATTAAACAATGGGTTTGACTGACTACCACAATGGGGATGTTAGTGGTACAGTGGTGTAACATCTTCCTACTTGCATTCAATGGGCATGCAAAATGATCATGACATGCATGCTAAGGAGACAAGTAGCAAGGTAAGTAGCTAACATGGTGTATGAAAAAATACTCCCCTTACATGTTTTTGGTATCATGCATACATTGAATTTTGCCCTGGTTTTTTCATACCTGTTCTGCAGTGGGGGAGCTTTCTGGTTACTTCCTCCATTGTAATTCTTGGCAGAAACTGGGTTTAATCTGCCTCTTAGCATCGTTAGAAAATACTGAGTAAAGATCAGGAGTGGGAGCTGGAGACTGCTGAGCCCTTATGACAAGTCTGGTCAGTGATTTTTTTTTTTTTTTATAAGACTATCATATTGTTACCCCTTTTGTCTGCTTCACTGCATATGTTAACACTACAGCCCACATCTGCTAGGAAGCTGAGTGCTTAGAAAGGAAATAAATAGAACTGTGCTAATTCCAACTTTTTGAGAAACTGAAGGGAGAAAAAATTCAACAGTTATTAAACAGGAAAAAAAGATTGGTGAGAGAAATGCTTGCAAGCCTCTAAAATGTTCAGGCTTGGGAAAGTGTTAAAACTGTAGCATATGGGGGAAAAAAAGTTAACAGGACTCGACTACTGCACAGACTAAAGGCTCCTATACTTACTATCTCTGTTCCTAAAGCCCCCTGATGTGGTAAACATCTAAATAGTTACTTTTCCAAGGTTATATTTGTAGCGATTACCTGAAAACCTGCCCTGAGCATGTCTGTCAGTTAGAGGCTCCCACTAGCTCTTGTGCAAGTGCCCCTTGTCACTCCCATCACAAGGAGAAATGAGGCTATGGGGCCACAGCACAGTTGTGAGGTCATGAGGGGGCCTTGGTGGGGATGTGGCTGTGGGTCTGCATGACCTCGGTTCAGTCTTGCTGGTTGGTCTATTCATGTTTTGTGATGCACACTATAGCATAAGGCTCTAAATCATCAAATTACAGAAACTGGGCTGGTAGGAACCTTGAAAGCTCATTTAGTCCAGCTGCCTATCCCAAAGGAGGATCCAGTGAGAGAGATTACATACCAGAATATCTAGGTAATCTATTCCAGGGCAAGATTGTGATTCTACAAGCAGGTGCACAGCTAAACCCTTTGCACAGAAGTAGTTTCATTGACTGAAATGTATGTATGTGGAGGTGTTTGCAGAACTGGAGTCTGTTACGCATTTACTTGTGGATATTTGTTTTCTTGAATCAGTACAAACATTCATTCAGCAAAATGTTAACAGAAACAACTTTTGGCTGTACACAAATCAGTTATTTTTCTCTCTAGGGCAAAGACATGAGGACCAGTTAACATTTTATACCTCTTCTTCAAAAATAATACTAATAGTTAAGAATTACTAATACTAATTAAGAACTACACAAAAGCAGCATTATGCTTATATTTCTGAGACTTTGACAGAATTTGCAAAAAACCCAAAATAGTCTTTAGTTCACAGGAATTGTTTGTATAAAAAGGCTCAAAGAACCAGGAAACAGAAGGCTTTTTTGTTAACTGCTCTAGTTCTTGTGGGCAATATTCTGACTTCAGATTAGTAGATGAAAATCAGATTTCAGTAAGAGGTTCACTTGTATCTTCGGAGGACACCATGTGGCAATACAGGAAAATTTGTTGAAAAGGGTCAGTTGTCAGTGGACCTGTCATTCATCTGGCAGGCTGGGGCACTTCAAAATGTGCATGGATCAAAAGGCAGCTTTGAGGTGGAATATCTCCAAAATACTGATTATTCCTGCAGTTTGCGAACAAACTCACCACTAGGACTTCATTTTTTATTTTAGATGTTGCAGAACAGCAGTGTGTCCTATTCAGTGAGAGCCGTGACTGCCTACTCCTTCAGAAGTGACTTCTAAATCCACTAGAGGCAGTGACTAGAACTTGGCACTTTCTAGCCCCATGCTTAGTTCACACTCTCTCTGTTAATCATTGAAGTATTAATTTTCAATCAGATGATGACTGTATACTGTGTAATATTTATCAGAAACGGTGTTATGAAAATCACTTTATAGATTTTCAATGTGCAGGGGCTTTTCAACTATACTTGGCAATTTTGAAGCATGTTTTATCTGTGGATCTCAAGGCACTTTACCAAGGTAGAGATGTGTTATACCAGGGGTTGTCAACCAGGGGTACGTGTACCCCCAGGGGTACTTGAGAAGGCCCTAGGGGGTATGCGCAGGCAGGGGGGGATGGAGCACTGCCACGCACCATCCTGCACTGCCGCGTAGGTGCCACCCACCTGGCTGGACACGGGGGGAGTCTGCACACAGCAGCTGCTGCTGCTCTGCATTCGGCCATGTGCAACCCCCTGCCCCACCACCCCTCCCACCCCCATCCAGCCACTGGGGGTACACTGATCCAAATACTTTGAAAACCTCTGTTACAGAGAAAAAGGAACTATGACTAGAGTTTAAATGACTTACCCAGGGTGACACTGCAGATTAATGCTGAAACAGAGCCCAGGTGTCCTGGATCCAAGACCACAATTCAGCAAAGCTTTAAGGCAACAGTTTTGTTTTAAGCACGTTTAACTCGCATTTGATAAATTGAGACATTAAGAAAGGAAAACACGGTCTCTCTATGTGGAAGGTGAACGTTCTCATGGCTTGGCAGGTAAATGTTATTTGCAGCTTTGTTAGTTCCTCTCCTATTACTCAGCAGATCTTTTAAGACAGTAACAATATTTTTAAACTGATTAAAGACTGTGTGCAAAGCATACATCTGCTTGGTGACCTTTTATCAATCAAAATATTTATGCATATGTTTGTTTTTTCTTGAGATGACACCAGTTACACGACGAGAAGTTCTTGGCCTTTACCGCAAGATATTCCGAATAGCCAAGAAATGGCAATCTGTATCAGGACAGATGGAGGATACTATTAAAGAGAAACAGTACATTATAAATGAAGCCAAAACATTATTTCAAAAAAACAAAAATGTAAGTAGGTCTCCTGGCTTTTAGAGTGGCTGTATGATGCTCTGCTCTCGGGATTTGTTCAGCCTTAACATGAAAAGATTTGAGTCCTCAAGCCTGTCTTTTGATTGGAAACCGATGCAAATATCTTCAACTCCTTTTTTTGACTTCTCCAAACAGAAAATATCAATTATCCCTAAGAAGAAATCTAGAATCCTCTTAGCTCTTTGTTGCTTTATGATGTTAGAAGGTCTAGAACATTTATAAGAAAATGCCAAATAAGAAGAGTAGGAAAAGTGCACTTCATGTGTGCTGGCTGTTATAGTTGTCGCCTGAAGTGGCCTTTGATCTTTTCAGAAAGCTTAGCAAAAAGCATAATTACCACTGCAATGGCAAGCAAAATTCACTAGTTCCTTTATCTGCTGATTTTTCTCTTACAACCGTAATTATTGGCACCTCTTTTAAAAGGAGAACACAGTTATTGCAAAAATGATATAAAAAAATTAGGATTTAAAACTTCTTGCAAAGAGAGTAAACAAACAGGCAGACTTGGTTATTATCATAGATCCTTATTTGTCTTCCCTGTATTTAGGTCTCATATTGATATGTTAATCAATTACAATTATATTAACTTTTTTATATTATTTAGTTTAGTTTCCTATTATTGAATGTATACATCCTTACTGGCTTAAGAGGGAGTTTTAGGAATGGAGTGATAGGAGGTTATGTCCCTTAGTTTTTCAAATCTTTCTCTCCAGCTACCATACATATTGAGAAATGATTCAACTTACTTTTGACAACAAGTTTTCGTTCCATTAATATATTAATATTTCACATGCCCATCATTGTTTTACAGTGGAAAAACCATATAGGATAAGAAACATCTCTCATATTCCCCTAGTAAACCTAAGCCCTGCTTTTCCTCCTGACTCTAATATCCATTGGGTGTGTCTACACCAGACATTTTACTGCGCATTAGCCTAATAACACTGTGTGGTTAAAAACTGTGCTAATAGACTACCGTGCAGTGTTATTAAGGTAATGCACAGTGAACGTCACAAAATAACCATGTGCCGGCACTGATGCACACTAACTCTAGTTACTGCGCATTTAGTTAGTACTTTCTTAAGCAAGTACTAAGCTAAATGCAGAGTATCTAAGGCACATTAATGAACATGCAGATGCACCCAGTGATATCAAGTTCAGAGTTGCTGTGAGAATTCTACCTTTTAGGACCTATGTGGAGATGAAGAAAATAGGACAATGCATGCTTGGGCTTATCCGAAAACAAAAAAAAATGTAAATCAGGTGGCTGTGCTGAGCTCATAACTGCTAATTTTTGCCTTTTCCCTTTGTACACTGTTCATTCCTATATTGTTTGATTAGTTAACGGATCCAGAGGTGATTCATCAGTGTATAGAAGAATGCAAAGCAAGAGTAGAAATAGGACTTCACTATAACATCCCCTATCCACGACCTGTGAGTATGAACCCATTCTCAAAGACTCTATAAGCGTGTACTAATCCCTTTACTGAGTAAGGTACTTAAGTGCTTGCCTAATTTAAAGCAGGCAATTTTGTTTCTGTGGCATTATTTTGGTGTTGTCAACTCCAACCCTCCAAAAATCATGGGGCTTCTCAACGTTGGCCCCAATTAACACCCTTCCCCCCCCAGATTATCTGCCAGATTACCTGCCTAGAGCAGGGCGGGCTGGACCCGATGATCTGCAAGGTCCCTTCTGGCCCCAAACAATCTATGAATCTATGAATCTCATTAAAAATAATGAGATTTTATAACCTGAGTCTTTGCATTCCAGTTTCTAGGGACCTCAGCCAGGTTTTCAAGCCTTCCTTCACGATCATAAGGGCTTGAAACTTGGTTTAAAAATATATCACAGCTGAGGTTCCTAACAAATCACGACCCCAGAAGTGGGGGCTTTAAAAAACACCATCTATTATGGAACTTGCAACAAAATCATGAGGGTTCCCAATATCACTGCTACATTATTGTTCTAAAGAAGTACATACTTAAGCACTTTGCTGAATAAGGATCAAGCTATGATGAAACTCTTTATGTTTCTCTGCTTCTTTTGAAGTAATCCAGTTTTCTGAATAAGTCATCAAAAGACTAAACATGCATGACCTAATTGTCTTCAAAGGGGTGGTGCTTATTTTAGGCAACTCTGAATCACTCATTAGATTCAATGAAGCACAGGAAAATTTGGTAGAGAGCAAATCCAGGTGAGAGATTAGAAATCATTCATATTTGTCCTCTCACCTGTGCAGTGAGTATATAAATATCATTGTCTTCTTAGCCTACACTGTGAATAAAAGTACTCTCAACTCAGCTCTTGTTCTTTTGGGTAGGCACATAATCTTTGTTCCTTTTCCTCCCTCCTCACTTAAAGAAATGAAAATGGCTTTTTTAAACATTATTGAACTTGCAGGGAGTTGTAGCATCCAATGCTATTTTCCTTTTGTCCATGCTTTCTTTCCATTGTGCTGTCATCCTTTCAGATTTCCTCTTTATCCCATTAATATGTTTACATTTTCATCTGTATCATGCTTTTCCTATCAAAGTGATCAGAATCTAGATCTCTTTTCCTCTTTGCTTCTCAGATGCTGTTGTGGGTTACTATAGTTCTTGGCATTTTTTTCTTACACATTTCAAACTGCATTCCTTCAGTTTACAGAATAAATACTGTTCATTTTTTGCAGCAAACATGCTGCTTTTAGCTACCCTTTTAACTGAGTATAGAGCAGGTCTTTTAAGTTTATACTCATCAGGGCTTCAAATAACTTTTAGAATCAACCGTAGAAGACCAGAGATGGGCCAGAAAATCTTTTAACATTTTCTAGATTTGTAGAATCTTGCTATTTTACTAAGTGTTTTTACTAATATTTGTACCTAACCCACTACCTTGAATTGGCTCCAGAGACCATAACATCACATCATTACCCCTACAATTTCTAATCACTACGGGACCAATAACAATCTTATATATACAAGGACTTTATCAATCAAAAAACTACAGCTTTCTATTTCAAGGGTCAGTAATAAAAATTGTGCAGTTTAATGTGTTATCAGGACAAATCCAAACTATGACAAACTGGCAATAAGAAAATTCCAGGCAGAACTGTACGGAAAATTGGTTATTTTGAGACTTGGTACTTGGGTACCAACAAAACATAGCCATTTGATATTTTTGTTGTGTTGCGATTCTGTACTTTTTGCACCTGCCCTGATAAACTGTAAACCTGGGCCTTCTAAAAGCATTTACTAGACTATTATATTCCATACGGTTTTAGCAAATGAAGCATCTTTACAAGTTATGACATCAAAATAAAACACAAGGCTGTAAAAGTCTAATTTAGAGGATTATAATGGATTCTGCTTGCATTTTATGCAGTAAATCAAAACACAGGGCTCCAAAGTTAAACACAGTTGTAATCACAACTGGAAATGGACTTTTCTCAATCAAAATAAATGACCTAATTGAGAGAGTATGTGTGCTCTCTCAACAGTCTATAAAACTGTTTTCAAGTTTGAATGAAATATTCTTGTATCACATCATCTCCTGTTTCCTGACTGGTTCCAGTTTACCAGTTTGCACAACTACTGTTAATTGTGTTTTGTTTTACGTAGATTCATCTTCCTCCTATGGGTCTTGCCCAGAAACATGGCCGGACATTTCAAAAGCAAGAGAAGCTGAGAAAGCTTTCCAAGCCAGTCTACCTGAAATCCTATGATGAAATTTCATAAGTTACCATCCTGCTGTGAGGTGTGCTATTGTGGACTTTGACCCCAAGGCATCTCTTGTGCACAACTGTGAATTAAACTATTATGTGCTTGAAATTTGCTTCCATTTCTCCTGAGGCCGGAAGCCTAGCTGATTCAGAACACATGATAAATAAGGATGTATTTAAACTGCCTTGCATTTATAAGATTCAACCACTGACTCATCAATAAAAGTAACAGCTTTTAAGGAGCGCGGTGCAATATGAAGATTACTTTGTGAAGTCAAAATAAAGCATGGAGATTTTTTAGTTGTATATGAATTTACAATGGGGTTCTCTCAAGGTCAACATGAGTTTTATAAATACGGTTGTTACTGAAGGTGCTTGTTGACCCCAGTGCAGCCTGAGTAGAAACTCACAGGGAATTGGGTAAAAAAAATGTTTCCCAAGGCTTCTCGTTGCATAGGAAGAGCACGACCATCTGTTAGCAGTTGCTCTTTCCTACCTCTGGCCAGGTTTGGTATCTTGGGTGGAGGGAGAAGGAGAGACTAAAGCCCTGCTTCCCTCTCCCCCGCTGTAGTCCCTCAGTTTATGCCTCACGCTGTCCTTATGGTCAAGAAGCACTAGACATTTTGTAAAGAGAAAAGTAACTCTTGCTTTCTTCTTATTTTTCAATTTGCAAGTTGGCCCCTTGCTTCTGTTTTGGCCTTTTTTTTTTCTTTTCATTCTAGACAGGGTAGATGTATAAAGGCTGAAGTTTACGGGAGCTTGTACATTCTAGTGCCTTTGCTTCCTGCCAGGAGGAATCCAGATGAGTGTGGGGCTGCTTTCCTAGCACTCCTCCTCCGCTCACAAGTCTGGATAGAGTTTCACTGACTGGCATCCACAGACTCCTTTGAGTCCTTCAGGGGGCAGGGGCCACTGGCTGGTGTGTTCTCCCACTCCCCCACCACTGGGGCCTCAATCTGCCCTCCCCACCCACACCCCTTCCCTCACAACAGACTTACCAGCCGAACCCTGCTACTCTTCATACTTCTGGGCTGCGCTTCTGGCCGCTTGCATGCTGCGCTGCAGCTGTGCGCATGCACGGAGCATTTATTGGCAACATTATCGGCCACATCAGCCAAAAAAAGCTGATTGCCAATACTGTCAATTTTCCTTATATCAGTTCTGATACAATATGGGACTGCTGTATCGATGTATCTCTACCTGCCACCACTTTCCTGTGTCCAGTTCCTTTCAGTCAGTCCTTGTACTCTGCCTTCCCCTTGTCCTCTCTGATCCTGAAGATCATCTGGAGTACCAATAGCCAGGATTCTCCCTAGGATCACAAAACTGGCTTGAATATTAGTATTGCTGAACTGCCCATGACGCTGAGTCAGGGAACAGGGACCCCACTCTACTAGCCACGGTATAAACACAGAACAAAATGACTTCCTTACAACATCACACTTAAGTATAAACCAGGAGACAGATATAGGCAGACAAGGGGCTACAAGGAAACAGATAATATTAGTCAGCATGATAGGGATTGGCTAGCCAGTTCCTGCCTAATCTCTACAGTTCTAGTCCATGGCGACAATAATTCCCGTGTAGTTAATTTTCCTGGAAAATGCCACACATGGGAAGTACTTTGTACTGAATGTGTAAAAAGTCATCTCTGGAAGCAACGCTAGGAGTTTTGCAAGTTTACTGCTGCTGGGAATCTATGGGTCAAAGGTCAGTGATGGTGGGTTAGGGGGAGAGAGAGTCCTCATGTAATTTCTGATTAAGTAGCATATAATCCTTCACTTTAAAAATTCCTAAATAAATTGTCCAACTACCACAGTTCAAATAGCCAAGTTAAAATGGGAACAGAAGAGGATTTTGAATACAGCTGTAGACTTAATTTTAGCTCTTAAGCCTCAAGCAAAATCTCTTTCATCTTTAGAATTCATACAGCTAATTTTAAGATGCTACTGGTAACACTGTGATTCATCAGGTGAACAAATATGCATGTAAATTAATAGTCTGACTCATTTACTGCATATGTTAGAGTCATATCTCCCAGTGGAGTACATATAGTAAAACACGCTGCAGAACATTTCAAAAGAACATCTCTAAAGACAAGTCAGTCGAACACAAACTAAGTATTAACCATAGTCTATGAATTCCATCTAATGAAAGCAGATTCATTAGATGCTGAAACGACCAGAGTTTAAAACAATTAAGTGGTACCAAATAACTTAGAGGAATATCAAACTCAATTGACTAAAAAAATCATCTAACAACCTGAAATAAGATCATTGGGTCATTTTAAGGATTTTATAATGTTAAGTAGCTATGAATGTTGGTATCTCCTTTCAAAAGAAAGGCTTAAGAATGTGAACTAATAGCTTAGTTACTGTAAGATCATCTTAGTATTTCAGTGCTGGAATATAAAACATTATGCCATCAGGCTGCTTAGCTAAGATCAGATATGGATCAGGTTTGGAGAGCATAAATCCCTCTGGCAGCCTGCTTGTAGATGTGCGTCAGACAGAGCCTGGCCCACATGGCATCCATTGGTTTGTGAGAGAGGGAGATAGAGAATTGACAAATATCAGCATTTCAGAAAAATCTCTTTGTTAAACTCCCACTGTGTATCATTCTTTGTTGGATAAGCAAGCTTCTCACAGCTCGGTAGGATTTAGCTTCTCCCAAGTCACCCTGCCTCATCATCTACTGAGGATAATGCTAAAGGTCTGATTCAGCTACTACTCACTTCAATGACAGTGCAGGCCAGATTTATCCCTGATATAGCTCCTTCAAAGGCAAAGCAATTAGATTTACTACAAGGACCAATTTGCCCATGTTCATTTCCCCCCCTATACTGTAACAATGAATACAATCTCATTAAAAGACCTGCAGAACTGCACATTACATTAATACTGGGAAACTAATTTCAATAAAGCACTTCTGAAAAACAAGCTGGTTTACTTTTAATTATTTTTCAGGCTGATTTCCCAGTCTCTCCATTGAATTTTATCAGCCCCTTTATCCAGTTTCTTTTATTAGAGCCCATCCTGTACAGCACTGGTCTTGTAACCCTACCAGACCCTGAACTGACATACATTTGATTGTTTTAAGGGTCAGAACTTGCCTTCAAAATACAGCCTAGAGCTCAGTGACAAGACTTTTGTGAGGTTTTATAACGTCATTCCTGTACAACCTCCCTTGGACAGCATCTTTGCAATTAAATTAGACCAGCCTGAGTTTTCAGAAGAGTTTGCAATGCACCAAATACAGCCAGTCAGCACACATCATGTCCTATACTTACTTAACTTTCTCTTACCCCCCCTTCCAGTAAGTCTTGACTGGAGGGCCTGAACCTATTCAGCCTCCACAAGAGAAGGCTGAGAGGCGATCTGGTGGCCATTTACAAACTCCCAAGGGGGAAAGCAGGAATTGGGGGAGGCTCCGTTCCCCCAGGCACCACCCGGGGTTACTAGGAATAATGGCCACAAATTGTTAGAGAGAAGGTTCAGGCTGGACATCAGGAGACATTACTTTACAATTAGGGCTCCCAGGCTCTGGAATGGGCTCCCAAGTGAGGTGGTGCTCTCTCCTAACTTGGGGGTCTTCAAGAGGAGGCTGGACAGATATTTGGCTGGGGTGATATGACCCCGGCACCCATTCCTGCCCAGGACAGGGGGTCGGACCTAGTGATGTGTTTAGGTGCCTTCCGACCCTAAGCACTATGATACTGACACTCTCCAATTTATCATAACACTTGGGAGATGATTTAGAATAATAGAAAAGCCCTGTCAAAGTAATTTGATATTCTTTACAAATAGGGACCTGAGTCAGCTGCCTGAACACTCCTATGAACTAACTTGTGAGCAAAGCGGTGGTAATCTGTTCACAAGACATCTGCCCTTGAATGTTCAGTAACAGCCTTATAACCCCAGTCAGTTCTGTAACTCTGCCACACCTACGACACATCAAATCCAATTCAACCCTGATGTAAGTGCATACAGGAGCATCTTCTTACTAATACCATCATTATATTTTAGAGATGAAGAAACCCCTATAAAATAAAAGCAATGGCCTAATTCATCCAAAGGGAAAGTCATGTAACTATGAGATGGGAAAGACCCCTTAGGTTTTCTGCCCTATCATCCTTCTAATGCAAGTTTGTTCTTTACTACATAATCTTCTGTGGAATCAGGGAATGAAAGGTAATCTGATCCCTGCTTTCTGAAGGGCCGTTTTTAAATTGCCATAAACCCCAGTCTCTAATTTTGAACTCCCAAATTTCGGGGTACAGTTTTGCGTACGTTCTCCTGCAGAACTTGGATTAGCATAGGGTCACAGGGCTACTTGCCTCCTCATAGCTAAGCCCTTAGGCATACAGAGACTTAATGAATACTTGGAACTAATGTCCACAGTTCAATGCACTAGAGACAGATTGAAAGTTTCCTTATTTCCCCATGTTTATGATTTCACCTGCAAGAATGTCAATGAAAAGATAGAACCGTCCCTTTCATTCATTTTTCCAATCACATTAGCCGAAGCCCCCAGTATATCATTAACCATAGCCATAAATGTGTGATGGGGGTGGTTGCTTTCCATGGGGCAGTTTAACATTGGGTCAACTCACTTCTGAAAGAAAACCCGTTATGTTTGCCCCTCTGATGGGAAACTCATTTTGCTGCTCACTAACTGAGTTTGATGATGATGGCAACTTCAGTTTCTCAAACGGCCTTTCCACAGATCAGACGTTAGTAGACTCAACTTTTCACCTGCTGAGAACAACTGCTGGCTTGCTTGACTTTCAGAATCACTAGTTTGGGATCTCTCTGTGCCATTTCAGGGAAAGAAACAGATACTCTATGAAATTTGTACATTGTGCATCTCATTTTCATCTGCTTTGAAATATTTCCAAGAATCATCACGAGGCTTGGGCATCCATGTGCTGCAGTAATTATGGGTGTTACTTTGTGGTTTGTTTAATGTGAGTTTCTAATTGAGAAATAGAAGAGTTGGACTTGGTATGGCTCAGAGTCCCAACACCAATCCCATTATTATTAATATCTATGATTACCAGAAATTTAACTTGTCTGCAGATTTTTGTCTCGTCTTACCACTGAACTAAGTCCTGCCTAGCTCACACTGGAGCTGCTTTCCTTCTTATTAACTTAGATGAGGAGACACTGTCAGGACCAGCGCCACGCAACATTGTCATTCCCCATTCTTGAGATACTAAGTCACAGCTCATAAAACATTAGGAAGCAGCATTTCAAAGTACCACCAAAAAATCCCCCCCCCCGCCCAATAGAAAATGTCACTATCTCAGAGCCAGTAGGGGGAGAAACCCAGAGGAAAGTGGTCACATGGTTCTTCAGTACCATAGTAATTAAACCAAATTAGCTCTGCCATTTAAAGGGTGTATAGTATGTGAACCTCTAAAAGTGTATGCATGGCTGCTTCACATAATACACCCCTCTCCTTTCTGTTCAAAGAGAGGCCTCCACTGACAAGTCCAGAAGTAAACAAAGGAAGATTATATTTAAAATATTAATAGCAGCAAGGAAACCACTCACAAGGAACAGCAGTATGCAAATACTATTGCATGTAGGAAAGAAGTCTGTAATTACCATGTGAGTAACAAAGATATATATTAAATATTTCACACATTAACTCTAACCAAGAACCTTTATAAAGCAACACATATGCCAATTAAACCAGAAATCAGAACTGGACATGTGGGTTCAGTCTCCCTTATGGCATTTATTTATTATAATCAACAATGTTGTTTTATGGAAATTAGCTGGACACAATGAGGATTGGTCATGTTATTTCTGATGTCAAAAATCGGTTAAAAGTAGGCCAGTTAAGAGTGACCCAAACTGATGACCTGACCCTGCCTGTAGCATTTAATCATAATAATTATATACAAGTCATTAAAACTAGTTTAATTACAGCCTAATTTCTTTAGATATACAGTAGTTTACACACAAGATTTCAATTAAATTTAACTATATGAAAAATACAAATATGCTATGTTATTCTATTATTAAGACCAAAGGACAAAGAAAAGACTGATACAGATGCTAAATTCCTTAAATGACCCTGTTTTTAGTCCATTTTAATTCAAACTAATTAACCAATTTGCTTATTAATCTTTTAAAAATCCATTCTGCCTTCAAAGTGTTTTGTAAGTTTGGGGAGCTTCTTCTGTACTTTTCATACTTACCAAAGAGGGTGAATTGGTGGTTTAAGCTCAAAATATAACTCAAACTGAATGATGGCAACATGAGCAAGTAATAATGAATAATGTAATATTGAACCAAAATAACTTCACACCTGCATTAAACCATTCTGCATTTAGTACCAATGTTCCTAGCTGCATACAATGTCACTGCATAATAAACAATAATGCACTAAATGCCTGCATACTATATATATGATGTAGCAAATATCTCTATGTAATTATATTTCAGCAATTACCTCTGGGTATTATTATTTAGAACAATACTATACTCATTATTGTAAGACTGCTGATTTCCATGTATGTGGTAACACACACAAAAGATGTATGCATGCATATGCAATTTATAAATATCTTATAAAATATAAGCAAACAACAGAACAGTGGGGGCATAACTTTCTGCCAGAGGGTCTCAGCACAGTGAAATAATTCCTGTGATAAAGAATTACACGACATAATTAATGGGACGAGTAACATCTAATGATTGCAGCTGAAGTCTAGGAGTTTGGAATAGCTGAATTATAGCTGCAACTCCAGCTATGACTCACTGTGTGGCCTCAAGCAATTAATTTATGTGCCATGAGTTGAACAGCCAAAAAATTGAGACCCCAAATTAGTGGATGCTTTTGAAAATGTTCACCTTGATCTCTGCACTTCATTTTTCTTGCATGTGAAATGAGCCTAATGATCCTTCTCTCCCTCACCAGGGTGTTGTGGGGATTTTGTTACATGACTGCACAGCTCTTTGAAGATGTTCAGTACTATTTTATGTTTAATTAATGCTTGGAAGGCACTCTGAGCTCATCAGATGAAAGGCCATAAACAAGCACAAAATGTTATCAGGTGGGTATTAATCCAACATGTGAGAGGGCAGGGTGAAGAGATAAGGCTGGCAGGGAAGGGAGGAGCTAAGTTTCTCTCTCAGCCACGCAGTAGTGTTAGAGAAAAGGAGAACAAGGTAAAATGAGAAAATGCAGTAAATGATCAGCTTTAAACAAGCAAGTGAGTGCTTTTGAGATTATGGTAGCTTTACAAAACCATGTAATTGGGTGGTACATGAGGCTTTGATGGAAATTCTGGAGCACATCCTCAACTGTCATCAAAGCAATGCCATAAAGCTATAATAGTGTACCTACCCACCTGTGGATTTGCCCCCTGTGCTTATAGACAGACGGTACCTGAGCCTCTCTCCCTACCCTTCATGTTCCTGGGGTATATAAGACTGTGAACGTAGGGGGGCAAATAGGGCGTGGGGAGACCATGCACCGAAGGGCAGATCCAGGAAGGCCTATCTACATGAATAATGCATGACAGCATCAATGTCCTTTTCAGCTTAAGCAGCCACCTAGGCCCTGAGCCTAGGAAATGAAAAAAAAATCTGCTGGGCACATGGCATGAGTGTTTCCATCTTTCAATATTTCACAGGATCCACATGGGATAGTCAGTACGGCAAGTTCCCTCTCTGGGAATTCTGCCCACTTTGATCAACAGTAAGATGACACCCAAGTCTTTGAAACTGGGTTGTATTTGGATTGTTCTTTAATCAGTCCCTATAAGTTGAAAAGTAGAAGAAAAATGGCGCACACAGCCTTTAAAATCAGTGGCAAATGTTGCAGTAAAAGAAGAAATGCAGCCACCAGAGAGTAAGCGTGTCTTTTAATTACAGAATTTGGGTGTTGTGACTTGCATACATTTTAGTCATCTAACTGACACAGGGCTGCCACACCTCGGTTTATCCAGTGTTTCTGGGGCTTATCTGAAGGAAGCTCTATTGAGAGAACATAGTTAGTTGAGTGCCCTGTAGTAGACAAGACACCTCTTCTTGCACTTGTCTTGTAAACAGGGCACAAATAAACATTGTCATGTAGAAATTTAGAACTTTCTCCAGGTTTCAGCCAAATTATGGGCAAAGAATCATAAAGGATTTTGGGAAATGATTCTCCAATCTGCATGGTTTCTCTGTTCCATCGTGCACCTTCCAAGAAAAGTCCTTTCACATATGCCCCATCTTCTGGCATTTTTTCCATGGTGTGTTCTTCTTTTGTCACCTGAAAGAGTTAAATAACTGGATTCGGTCTTATTTTAGATCTAGAAAGTGTTTACTCCCCAAAGCGAGTAAACTGTGATTCTGAAGTGTTCAGACAGCAGATTACGCTCCTCAGTCTAAACTACTGAAGTCAGTGAGAGATTTTCCTTTGGTTTTAGTGGTCTTAGGATCAAGCCCAGATGGTTTCTGCTGCCCTTTCTGCAGTACTTAAGGACAGAAAGTCTCTCCTCTCTTCATACTAATGAGACCTTTGCTTATGTATTAGTAAGTTTCCTATCGATTCATTAGCATTTGGATAGCACACACAGAGGATGAAATTCACCCTTTTGTGCTGATGGCCAGCACAAGGCCTGCGCATTAGTCATGTCAGTCAATAGGTCTTGGTAAATGGTATGTCAGTGATCGTTCCTCTCCTGTACCAAAGGAAAACCTACCCAGAGGCAACAGCAGCAGTTCATGATGTTCAACCTCTAATGTTTCCAGATTAAATAATCTTGCAACCAAATCTGGGAGGCCCATGGTAAAAGGGAACATCAGTTTGGCTTTGTTTGCTTAATTTAATATATGTAAATTATTTGCATAAATTATATTCCTCTGTGTTTTTTACCTCAAATTCAAATCCAATGTAATCAATTGGGATGGTGTATTTCCTAGCGTAGTTCTGTGAAACACCAGTCAGGAAGGACTGAGTAAAGTAGAATCCTGATATCCAGAATACATTGGGTGGTCCCTTGCTGGTCCACTCCTGAATTGGGTAAAGAAGAACAGCAGCATTTTATTAGGAAAAGCAATATCTATCTCAGTACAAAGCAGAAAAGGGATCCTGTGCCCATCTCCCACTCTGCTGCAACAAGGAATAGGGAGCTTTAACTTGACCCATAAAGTCTAGCCAGGACAAGCACATCCCATGCTATTGCCTAGCTGAAGCTCCTTGGAGCCATTAGGAAGCAAGAATAAATTAGGGTAGCTCATAGTCAACCCCAGTCCAAATTAGGGCAGTGGCCCTGCTCAAATGGATCTTTCAGAAACTTACTTGTAATGCTCTTTCC